TTAGTAAGGTGGGCTTCCTAACAAGTGCCACAGAACACTTAGACTCAGGCAGCCATTTCCCCAGGTGCCCTCTGTCTCTGCCTAGAAGTTAGACCTCACCATCCTGAAGTTTCCCCTTTATTTAACTGAAGCATCATATTCAAAGAAAAGTCCAATGCCATAATTCAATCAGAGATCGCTTATTGGATATTTTCCTACAATGCATTAGTAGAAAATTCTTATCTTTAAACTTGTTTTTCTGTCCACTAGGACATTCTTTCTTAACCACTGTCCTTAATTACTGGAGATCTCAACTGACTCTTGGTATACAGTTCTGGTACCTACATGTACTTCTTTACAGCAAAAATTGTATTTTTCATGTTTTGAGATTCACACTAGCTTGCAATTGCTGGGCAGCGTAATTTTGCTATGTGCATTTGTCCTGATTTGGTTAAGGAAGATCCTTTTTGTTAAAGGAGTGCAGTCAGATTGAGAGGAGAGAGGCTTGGAAAACGTCACTTGGGTAAATCATACCTGACCTCCTTCATGTTCGTTTCCCTACTCAGCCAAGTTCTCATTGTCAGCTGTCTCCTTGCTTGTCTCCTCCTCACCCCAAGTGTGAAATGTCAAAGCCAAACAGCTGAAGACAGAGGTGGCCAGGTTGCTGTTCTGCGGTGGTTGGCAGTATTGTTTTGGTTTATTTTGATATAATGACAAATGAACATAGGTTGTGCTTTTAAATACTCCAGCCTTTAGCTCTTATACAGCATCAGGTCAGGTTGCCATTAGGTAGTGAATAAATGCTAGATTGGTGGCATTGGGACCAGGAGGGCAGTGGTTTTATACCAACACATTCTAGTCTCCAAACTGATTAGAAATTTGCTTGATATTTTCTCTCAGAAGAAAGGTGAAGTATTAACAAACAAAGGTTCTGTTTATTATCTTTTATTAAGGCATTTGCCCAGGACCCTCATAGAAGAAATTAGTTAACCTGATGTGCATATGGATTTATAAATTTCCCAGTGGGGAGGTCAGTGACCATACATAAGGTCTAATCTCTAAAGTGATTTTACTTAATAAATTTTAAACCTTCTCTTTTAGTATTTTTAAATTCAAGCTGCTAAACAGGATTCAGTGGGCTTCAGATTTTTTGCTTATTTCATCTTAGTGCCATTTGACTTGTTAGAAATGACTAAAGATCAAAATTTGAGTAGACAACAAGAGAAGGTGTGGAAGCCAAGACTTGGATAATCCATCTCCAAATTATCAGTCCTTTAAAGATTACCAATATTTATTTTGAGAAACTATTAAAATTTTAATTCCTCCAAAGTTGAACTTCAAGAAAAGAATATTTGACTGTCATTTAAATGACCAAATGCATGAGTTAGTCCTGTAGTGAAAAGAATTACTGAACAATACAGCTTTTTTTTTTTTTTAACAATACATTTTGTTCATAATGTATCTTTTTACCTAGACCAATTCCCTTGTTTGTTACATGTTCTTTGGAGCCCAGTTTTAGTTTCTTCCTTCTTCCCAATAGCCTGGTAGGATCTCTTTTGCCAAGAGGTGAGAAACCTGGATTTCACAGCAGGGGGAAACTTCCTCGAATTATAATAGCATTGTATCAGAGTGTGAAGTGCTTATTTCACACAGGCAACTATTGCCAACTCATGGGGATTTTCTTCCAAACAAAGGATCTAACATCACACACAAGAGGCAAAAATGCAGAGCAGATTACTTGGGGGCAAGCTGCCAGCCTGTGCTGCCAAGCAATAGCTAGGCAAGGAAGGAGAGCCTGGAGCCATGTACAGATGCCCAGTTCTTCACAACTTTGTGTCAATGAGCTCCTACAGGACTCCACCCAAGGCTATAGAGAACAAGTTGCTTTTTGTATGCTTTTCAGTTGTCTGCTTGATGACCAGGCTTTCCTGACCAGTTCCACCCTGACTCACTTCCCTTTGCCCTTCTGAGAAGTTATTCCTTCTTTTTTCTTTCTTTCTTCCTTTTTACTCTCTACATACAACTTTCCTCTACCAACTTCCCTGATTGTCACCAGTAGTAAAGTCTTCATTGAAAGAAGGAGAAATTGAAGGTGACTAAAGAGCTCTATGGCTAAAATGACAAAGACAGGGCTTCGCATTTTTATATAGCTTCAAAGAAATTTTTTAAAATATTTATTTTTTAGTGATAGGTGGACACAACCTATTTATTTTAGTTTTATGGGGTGCTGAGGATCAAACCCAGGGCCTCATACATGCTAGGCGAGCGCTCTACCTCTGAGCCACAACCCCAGCCCAGCTTCAAAGAAATTTTAAATAACTACAATAGCAAATAAAAGAATTGGATGGCATTACCCTAAGACAATAATGATGAGTTGGTTTTCCTGGACCCTAAGAGCCCTGATAGCATGACTCTACCTTGAAGCTTCTTCTGTTGGTGGTTCAAATCTGTGGTTAAGTGAGGCTGGGGGGGGGGGGGGTGCATTGAGAGACTCACCTCAGCAGTGCTCCTTCTGCAGGTAGAATTAACCTGCTAAATGGGAGGCACTTACTAGTGATAAGCTTTCATACACTCCATGGTGGGAGAAAGGAAAGAAATAACAAGTATTAGTTTCATATATGTTGCAAAAAAATCTCTCTTCTCCACTGTGTGAAGATAAAAAGGAAGTGGTATGGTAGTGGTAAAATGAGGTGATTTTGTGCTAATTGATGCTGAATACAGAGGCAAATTAATCACATTTAATGAATATAACATACAAGTGGTTTCACCAAATGATTGCAAAATGCAATTTCCCACAAGTTTTTAATGGGAAAGAAATTTTTAAAATATTATTAGTTAAAATGCAGTCTGAGTCTTAAAAAATACAGTTAATGTAAGCATCCTGACAGACTGCAGGAGAATGCAAACTCAGGTCTATGCTTAGAGCAGATGAAACCAGTTCTGCTCAAATCCATATGGGAATATAGATTGTTTTAAGTTGTATTAGGCCTGTATTCTGCTATTATTTCTTTGTTTTAGTATCTTAAGTTCTAAATGACAGACTCATTAAATTTGTTGTTATTACTTTATAAGAATCTTAAAAATCTGTTTTCTGTGGTTGATGGTACATTGTGGATTTGAGGAAAAATAGTAATGATTTGTGTGGCTTTTGTGTGTATGGAAACATCTTCTGGAATTTTTTCATGGTTAAAAAAAAGGATAACACCTATAAAATATGAGGTCTGGAGATAAGTCTTGGAAAAGGATTCAGAGGTTAGAAAATAAAACACAGGAAGGATGAAATTCTTCAACTTGGGCGAAGAAAAGGTTTTGTCTTTAACAGGGTTTTATCTTACCTTTTTCTTGTTAAGTAAGCTTCAGTCCTTCAAATAGGCAGATTTTTTCACTCTGTCCATTTCTAAACTGGATATGCCTTTGCTGCAGGTGGGAATAATTTGGGATGATTGTGTTACTTATATAATACTGATATGTCTCCATGCTTTTGTAGAATAATGCTAAACTGCTCAATTCAAAGGCTTTCTCTCACCAGGAACTGACTGTACTTACAAAGATCATGGGGGCCACAACTGCTTGGTCAAGCAACTAGTAATGAATATATTTTTCTTTCTCAATAAGCAGATTGATGAATCTATAAAAGCTAGAAGATAAACACTTATAAATCAGAACTTTTCCCAAAAGTTATATTACAATTTTTTTTTAATCCCACACAGGAAGAATTTAATGGAAAACCTGACTCCCTATTTTTTAATGATGGTCAGAGAAGAATCGACTTTGTTTTAGTGTATGAAGATGAAAGTAGAAAAGAGACCAATAAAAAGGGTACAAATGAAAAACAAAGGGTAAGTTTCTTTTCTATTTTCTTTTTTATTCCTTATAATATTGTAAAATGAAAAAGAAGTGTTATTTTTATGTAAGTAATAAAGTGATATTGGTGTTGAAAAATCATTTACCAAGCATAATTTCATTATTTTCTGTACTCTTGTTCCCTCAAGACATATTAACAATTTTTTAAAAATTTTGAAATAGAAACTTCTTCAGAGAAACTTCAGAAATCAACTTCAGTTGGTTTCATACTGAAGGCTGACTTTCTTTGAAGGAATTGTGCTTTCTACTGTGAAGAACAGACTTCTATTAAAGCAAACCTGGCTATTTGCAACTGGGTAGAAAAGGAAGCTAAAGATTAGTGACGACAGTGTAGCAACTAGCTTCCAGTGTATGCTCACTCAAGTGCTGTAGGTGTGTTTTGCATGCATTTTCTCATTTAATTCTCATCACACCATGAACTGAGTTCTGTAATCACGCCATTTTGTAAATGACAGAGTTGACCCTTAAGAGAGGTTAAATGATGATTCAAGATTATGGATGCTGATCCGAATAGTAGTGGAGCCAGGGTTCAAACTCTTGTATTGAATCTAGAACATGAGCTCTTGGCTACTGGTATTTTCTGTTACCTCCTTTTCTCCCCTTTCATCCTTTGCCACTCAGGCTGCTTCCTTCTCCCTTTCCTTTGCTTCAATCTGTTTCAGGAAACAGGGCTGTACTTATCTGGAGATATTGAAGCAGTAGGCCAGGGTTATAACAACTGCCTGGGACTTCTTTACCTAAACCCAAATTGCATTATTCTCAAACAGGATGAAAGGAGTGCACACTGATAAGCATCACTTTACTCATTTTGGAAATCATTCCCTTGGTCTTTATTCCCCACCCCTCACATAGGTGTTATGACATGCACATGACCTTAATTGTCCCTCTCTGTACTTTCTCCCTTAAATATAACAATCTCAAGTCTATTAATTTTTTTTAAACAAACTAAGCAAAGAAACATTTTTAAAAATGGAGCAATTAGTCTTGGTTTATTTATGTGTTTAAATTTGGAGGTGCTTAAGTTTGGAGTTTTGTATTTACATGTTGCAACAGAATAAGCCCCAGACTTTGGAAATCTGCAATTTACATTTTAATTCTGCCACTGCACTAGTTGGAGTAATTCTAGTTTTAACAAATGAGTTCTCAGAGGACAATGGTTTAACAATAAAAAGATTTATTGCTATGTCAAAATTAAAGGTGACATTGTGTTTGGCATGTGGTTTGGGGTTGGGCTCTGTCCTTGAAGTCATTAAGGGTCCCAGCCAACACAGAGGCTCGGATACATTCAACAGGTAGTTCAGGGTCATCCTATCAACACAAATAGTAGATAAGATGAGAGAGGACGGAGAAAGAACTCCTGCTTCTTCACCACCTTGGTCTGGAAGTCACTGCAGGGATTGTGCTCACATTCCATCACTCGGGCCTGAGGAAGGTAAAAAGCATTGTTTGTGACAGGGTAGTTAAGGAAAATGTTCTTATCAATATTGTGTTTTTTTTTCAAAAAAATTTTTTTTTTTTTTTACATTTTGACATCTCTGAAATCAGATTGCGTCTGGTATATAAATGGTGATCATACTTTTATTGGACAAAATTATTATTTTTGGTACATAAAATATTGGCTCACCACATACTCAGTGGCATCTTACGTTCAGGGAAATGGGGTCCCAACACCTAGTCCCTGGGAATATGAATAAGATTAGGTAAAATAACATATGTTAGTGTTACATAAATTTTAGCCTATATCAAATAGTTCATTTATGTGTCTTCCTCTCATCGTATTTGGGGCTTATGAAAAGAGATGGCTCTCAGACAATTTTATCACTGGAGCAAAATATCTTAGAGTACTTTTCCTGTGGACTCTAAGACATTCTGTGCAGTCATAGTCACCATTATCAAATATTCATTAAGCGTCCATATGCCAGTGGAGCAGAATTGAGACTAAAGTTAAGTTAAACAGAGCTAACCCATTAAAGTATAAAGGAAACAGTTCTGGTTTTAGACAAGAGCTTTACTGCCATGGTGAAGGGGCCCTAGAGCTACTTACATTATTAATAGACTCTGCATTTGTGTTAGAAAAAAACATAGGTCCCAGGATAACCCTTATAAATCAGGAGGAAAAAATAATCATTAATTTTGGAAATCCTTGAATCCATGGATTGATATACCTTGATGTTGGTTTTTATTATCTGTGCTTTGAAGTATTTTCAGTTTGTACTTGTACATATTACTTAATTTATACGCTACCAAAATTCAAAGTTCAACTTTGGAATCATGTTTTTTTTCTTTTAATCTGAAAAACATTTTCAAGTTCTATCATATTCCTTGTCAGGGCTTATTGAGGATTTAGGACAATACCAAGGGAAGGCAATTTCAAACTCCTGTTTCTTTTGAAAGAAAAAATATGTGTAAATCATATTGATTTCCTAAAACAGCACTAAGGTCGACTTCACCAGGGTTTATTGAAAAACTGTTGTTAAACATGTTGTAGTGCTGTAGAAATATAGAAGTAATAGGGCCACAAACACCAAAAACACAGATACAGCCTTTTAAGCCTCTGTTTATCTCCTCATGAGCAAGAGAAAATCCTGTTCTAGCCAAACATCCGATAGCATGTAGCTTTGTTCCTTATGTAGTGAAATCACTTCAGAACTATTACACCTTTCTTTAATAGCATGAAATCTTTTTATGTAGATTTTACATGGGGAATTGTATAAACTATTTCCATAAGCACTCATTTCAGCTTATACTATGCTTGGCACAGAATCAGTCTGGGTATTTTTCATTGCAAGTCACAAGAAAACTAAGTTCAAAATGGCTTAAATGCTGGAAGAAAATAATTTTGTTCTCATTTAACAAATAGTCTGGATATAGAACCATCTCTAAGCTAGAGAATTTATTAGCTTAATGAGGCCATTCCATCCTTCTACCCTGCCATCCTCAGTATTTGGCTCTCCCTTAACTGACTTCATTTGGTTGTAAGTTGGCTGCTACAATTTTAGGTAGCCAAAGGCAGAAAGAGGGGACATCCTTTCTCATGCCTCCCCCTTTTAAAGACAAGAAGCCCTTAGAAGGGCCCTTAGCAGTCTATTGTCTATTATAGTTTATTCCTCAGTCTATCACGTTTGGCCCTCCATATCTGTTAGCTCTGCAGCCACAGATTAAACCAACTGCAGATAGAAAATATTCACAGAGAAAAAATGGCATCTACACTAAACACATACAAATGTTTTTTCTTGTCATTATTCTCTACACAATACAGTATAACAACCATTTACATTGTATTAGGTATTATTCATAATCTAGAGATGATTTAAAATTTACAGGAGAATGTAGGTTATATGCAAATTTTATATCAGACATTTGCGCATCCATGAAGTTTGTGGTCCAGTCAATCCAATCCCTGGGTATACCAAGGGACTACTGCTAGTAAGATGAATGGAGTTGCCTTCCTCCGAATAGACTAATCAAGACTGGTCTAATTTATCTCTTGAATCACCTGATCATTCAGTATCTGAAAAACATTTAGCCTTTTATTTGTAATAAATAAGGGGAGAATGGCTGTTCATAGCAGCCAGCAATGTCTGGCGTAGTACATGATTAACATAACTAACTGTGTTTGATCCATACTGTTTAGAGCAAAGACGTTTTAAATAAAACAAATCCCTGCTTATTTCTCCAACTCTGCATGCACAATTTTGTTTAGTAGTTGTTTCTTTTTTCAAACTTCCTTTTACCAGAACTGCTAACAAGTGGCAGGATTGCTCTATTTTGGATTTTATTTTGTCTGACAACTCCCTTCAGACAGATGTGTTCATGACCACATAATGGTATAACTCAGATGATGGTAAAAGAAAGTGGAGGGATCTAGACAGCATAAAAATAATGTAAGTAATTCTGGACATGTGTTTTACTTATATTTTAATCCATTCCTAAGGGTTGATGGAAACTTAATATCCGTGAAGGTGAGGAAAAGTTGGTATATGGAAGTATATATTTGTATTCTTATCTGGCCTTGAGGATTCTTTAGTGTGCAGTAGGAAGCTCTGGCTCACAGAGATTGTAGAATAAGGAATTTTAAATAAATTGGTGATCAGGTTCATTATATAACTAAATATGATTTTACCCACACTTGCAAATACTGTGAGACAACTAATTGGTTTCAGATCCTGTTGTAAGCTTTAAAAATTGTTATGCATTATTTCATACTAATTAATCTAAGGCCAAATTGTTTGCTTAGAAGTCGAATGAGATCTTTTTGGAAATATTTAAAACTTTATCAGGAAGTTTTAGTATGATGAACACAGTATATTACTCCATTTAATGAGGTCTTAAATCTTGTAAAGTTTCATAACGATGTCCATGAAGATCTTGTACATTTTTATTAACTTTTCTTAATTATTTTAAAATTTTGTTGCTGCTGTCAAAAACATTTTATGTTGCAGCTTATAGCTTATGGTTGTGTGTAAAAGAAGTCTGTTGATTATTCTGAGTTCTACCCAGGAACCTTGATAAATTCTTTTTAGTTCTAATAGTTTCCAGTGCTGCTTTTAAGTTTTTTTTTTTTCAAATGAAGACCATCTTGTCTACAAATGATGACAGTTTTGCTTGTCCTTTGCTGTCTTACATATCTTCCTTGTCCAATTGCAGTGGTTAAGATCTCTAGAACAAAACCAGCAACACACAGACACCACTATTGTACTGTTCATGATTTAATGGGAATGTTCACAAAATTTCCTTAAATGTCACACTTGCAGTAAATTTTTAAATTTTTCTTAAGAAGTTAAAAGGGCTCGCTTTTGGTCCTAGATTCCTAGGACATTTTTATAATAACTGAGTTTTAGGCTTTATCAGTTTTGGGTTTTTGTTTTTGGTGCTTTTTTTTTTGGGGGGGGTACTGGGGATTGAACCCAGGGGTACTTATTCACTGAGCCACATCCCCAGCCCTTTTTTATTTTTTATTTTGAGACAGGGTTCGCTATGTGGCTCAGAGCCTCCCAAGCCGCTGGGATTAAAGATGTGCACCACTGCACACAGGTCTTCATTAAGTCTTAAGTACAAGATGTTGTTCCTTGGTATGCACAAGTGGTTGGTTCCATGATCCCTGTGGATCCAGAATCCGAGATGCTGGTGTCCCCTATATAAAATGGCAGTTTTTGCATGTGACCTATGCAAATCTTCCCATATACTTTATATTATCTCTAGATTATGTGTTATGACTAATATAGTATAAATACTATGTAAATTTGTTGTCCTGTGTAGTTTAGATAATAATGGTGAGGAAAAATAACTGAATATATTTAGTATAGGTACAGTAGTCCCTCCCCCTCCCCGAAGATTTTCCATCCTCATTTGGTAGAATTTGTTGATGTAGAGCCCATGGATATGAAGGGCTGACTGTATGTGGTTATTTTTGATTGAGGTAGTAACTAACAATATAGATAACTCAAAAATTGATTCTTACTGGCCTTAAAGATATATATAATTTTCATAGTTATATGCTGTCTATGCTAACACTACATTAAACATTTACGTTAATGAATATTTGATGCTTATTTGTGGAGTATTAAAAATGTTAAACATATAGATGTAGAGAATAAAATGGTGGTTACCAGGGGTTAAAGAATACAAAATTTCAGCCTGGAAGAGGTAAGTTCAAAACATCTATTATGTAGCATGCTCACTATAGCTTGCTAATGTACTGTCTTGTTGAAAATTGCTTAAAGATTAGATCTTAAGTGTTCTTACCACACACAAAATATGTGTAATGCATATTAGTTCAATTTAGTCTTCTGCAATGTATACCTGTTTTTAAATAACATGTTTTAAATGACAAATATTTATAGAATTTTTAACTTTCAATTAAAATAAAGAAATATTAGGAAAGTTAAAAAAATCTTTGAAGTTACTTATGGAAATATCTCAAAAATAAAAGTAATTTGATGAGTAATCAGGATGAAAGAAGTATAAAGGAAGAAAAATAAAATGAAGTATGCATGCCTAATAAAATTATTTATTATAAACCATAAGATCTGTTCAGAAGCTAAAGGTCAGTTGCAAAATTGTCTCTGAGCTTCCTATTTGCATAAGAAAATCAGAGAATGTTGTCAATAACGTGATCTAGAGTTTCAATACAATGTAAATAAAGCTGGTTCTTCAAAAGAAATGCAGTGATCTGGAGGATCCTACAGAGCCTCCTAAAGCAGAAGGCATGACTGAATAGAATGAAAATTGCCTAACTTCTCCATATTGAAATATAAGGGGATGGCAAAGGAGGAGATAGAAACTATAAGGAATCAGAACACTGTACAGAATTTCCTGAGTTTGACATACTTGGCACGTTCCATGAATTGGAAAGTTGAAGCTGATGTTAGAATAGCCTGAGAGGAGATAATGGCAACCAGTGTTGTGTGGTTTTACCTTCCC